GCTGCCCCTATAATACAATGTGCTGCCCTTCAGAGAGCTAAGCCTCTACTTCAGGAAATCTTCATAGTCAACTAACTACCATGGGTTACATTTAATGGATGACAATTAAAACAAAACAAAAGGCCATTCTCTACAGAGCATTTAGTGTTTTTTTGTTTGTTTGTTTGTTTTAAATGCCTAAATAGAAGAACCAAAGACATTGTTTTATCACTGAAATCCAGTTTTCCTCAGAAACATATCTTTAAAATTCTGCCTTTGTATAAGTGATTCAAATACTTTCTTAACCTTCTGATTATATCCCTCTCAATAAACCCCTAACTGAACTACTTGAGACAACCAATGTAAATAATAGCAACAGTCAACTTTCAGAGGAGAAAAACCAAAACACAAAAGAGGGTAATTTAGTTATGTAAAGTAAATGTAGATATAGTACTATTGCCATCTCTTAAATTATTCCCCTCAAATATATGGTAAATGGCAATACTTCAATTTGGGGGGAAATTTTAAAATGCAGAAGTACAAAAATAACAAAGACATCATGAAAAAAAGGTTTGATAGGAGTAAAGGAAACAAACGATTAATTTCAAACATAAATTTGTGGGTATTTGAACATTTTGTCAGAGAAAAAACTGTATGTTTCAGCTCCGAAATTGAATCTGTATATCCAGGCTTTAAAGCTGTCTCTGTTGTATTTAAATTATGCAGGGATTCCTAAGAGGGGTCACCAATGCCTACAATCTATTGTCTTTTATTAAAGGTGTGTCCACCCTACTTGGCAGATCAGAATCACAAATCATCTATCTCATTTTTTGAGGATAATGACTGAACATTAGTCATGATTTTCAAAACACAGAAACACATGCTTTCACTTCAAAGGAAGATCACTGGTTCTCCCTAAGTGAAAATTGAAATGTCATGGTGCTTCCCTCTTACAGTCTATTCAAACGTTTGACAGACAAGTTAAATAAAAAAAGACTAAAGTCATGAACCAAACCAAGACAAAAGGAGTCCTTATAATGGTCCTACAGACATTCCTCAGAACAGACTTCAAAACACACAGAACTGCCTTCTTTAAACAGGAGACTCATTTCATAAGAGAATTTAAGATATATAAAAAGCAAGAAAAGACTGAACGAGCTAGCAAAAATTTCTCATTCCCATTAAAATAATCAGATTATTGTGAAATTAGGGGGGAAGGTCTTATAACATTCTATTACTTGTACTCTATAGTTTGATTCATTTGTTTTATTAATCTATCCACTTATGTCTTATTAATACTTCCACTTAAATCTTCCACATATTAATGTTTTAAGGAAATTGCTAAATTTAACTTCTGTAGTGAACCAAACAGAGGCATGTCTTAGTATAAGGAAATATGAGCCATCTAAATGTAAAATTATAGAACAAGTGAGTGTGTGTCATTTGCATTCAAGAGAATTCAACCAGAAGTTCATTTAAAAAGTAGCTGCAGGCATTAAGGTTGGCTGAGGCCTCATGTTATTGATAAGGATACTAAGTATAGAGATTGGGCACCAACATACTATAACCAAACAGCGAGTGGAAGATACCAAAATAATCTTTAACTCGATAGACCTTTTTAGAAAACGCCTAAAATAAGACCCACCTGTCACTGATCTTACCTGTCATTACTGAAGCAAAAGGTTGCTGAGGATCAAAAGGACATTTCAGTCTGCCAGACTCCAAATTGTTTGTGTCTAGTTTGAACATAACTTCCTGTTATGAGAAATATTAATACAAGTGAGACTTCTTAAAATATCAGAATCAACAAGGACACAAGAGGTAAGAACTAAATTCTCATTCATTAATTCAACAAAAATTGATTTTTGAACATTATGCTCTTCTCAAGTCTTTAGCAAATATCATTTCTAGCAAGACTTAATTCCCATGTTTTGGTCTCCATTTTCCCAAAGTAGTAATGATAATACGGAATTCAATTTTCAATCAGAATTAGTCATATAGTCACCATTTAATTTAGTCTGGATCACTTTCATGATCAATATCATCATTAAATGCACATATGTCTTAAGCCTACTAACTAATTTATTGAGCCTAAGAAGCCAATTTCTTCATCTAAGAAACACGTTTACTATAATAATTACTTTTCATAGCTGTTACGGTCTATTTACCTAAGCATCTGTAACTTTTCCCAATTACTTAAGCCTTGTGATAGTTTGTAGTTTTAGTGACATAAAAGTGTTCTAAGGTAGGCAGTTCATTTTCAGAGCTGTTGATACATGTTGGAAAAAAAAAAAGAATCCTGTTGTTGTATTTTCACTCTTATGAAAACACTGTACATATTAAAAACCACATGGTTTTATTGGCTGAAACAACTATTTTTACAGTAGTGACCACAGACAGAGTGACACTGGCAGACTTTTAATATTCAGGAAAAAATAACATCTTAAGTTGAACTTTCCAAGAAAAATATGAATGTATAATGGATATGGCCCCATGAGCTTGAGTATTGCATAACAATGACAACACTACCATCTAGCAAAAAAGCTGATGACTCACCCTGCCTATGCACTAGTTAAAGAAAGTCAGCATTTCAGGCTTTCTCTCTAGATGGCATAGCTACAGAGTTCTACCAGGGCACACACACGTATAATAAGAAAAGACCATTCACTGCTACTTATCTAGAAAGCAAGCAATGAAGCAAAAGGGATGGATGAAATTGCATCATTTGTTGTGTTATGTTGCCACATCGGATCTTTTTCTTATGAACAGAATGGACAGTAACTACTGCTTTAAAAAAAAAAAGTAATAGCAACTTAAATAGCATGGTGAACAATTGCTACTTCATAGTTCTCAGTAAATGTACTTTAATACTACTAATAGTAACAGTACCTAACAGTAAATAGGCAGTGACCATGGGCCAGGAACTTTATGTACATCATCTCGTTGAATTTTCACCATGAACCTAACGATGTAGCTACTTTAAGATTCCAGCTTTATAAGAGGAATTGAGGATAGGAGGGGTTAAGTCCCTTGTTCGTCATGACATAGCTTGTAAGAGAAAAAAACAGTAGCTGGAACTCAGGGCTGTCTCCAAAGTTTATGCTTTTAACTAATTTAGTCTCTCAGCATTTCAAACTTGTGAACTTGAAAAAATGTTGAAATCAATTTATAGTAGGCTCACCGTGACCATGTAATGCGATCAAGCCCAAGTCTGTTTAATTAGAATTGCTCAGCTAATGAAAAGTTATGACAGTGGAGCCTTGGCATGTAAAAAGTCCAGTGGAAACACATTTTGGCTTTGCTTCCCAACTGAGGATGCGTCTAGAGATAAGTCAGGAAAAAAGCACCTGTAGACAGTGGCTCTAAAGTATGTTTAAATATCATTAAAATAACATTATTCTCTGCAGGTCAAACTCAACTGTTGACTCTGATACTTATAATGGGATTAGTGTAAAGGGGGGAATTAAGCTGAATGATGGTGTGTTAGAAGATCATAGTAAAAAGCTAAAAAAGAAAACCAAAAAATTATTTGAGAGAATGTCAGAGTTGATGCAAAGTATTAAATAAACCCTTATAACTATATAGCCTTCTGTGTTCAAAGGCAACATTTCATTAAATTCCCAAGATAAGTCCATAAAATTGGTATTTGTGGAGGCTGAGGACAAGGTCTCCCTTATAATCTCCTAGAGCGAGGAGATAGCAGGAAAGCAAGTTTCCTTGAGCCACATTCAAGGTCACCAACAGAAAAGTGATGTAAAATGTAACAGCTGATTAAATGGACTGCCTCAGACAAACTGACTGAATTACATGACACTAATTTTTGAGGCTTCAATTTTACAAGGTTTTTCCCATTACATTCCTTAAGCCTAATTAAATATGCAAAACACATCTATCTAAACTGCACACAGAGAAATATTGTTGAAATAAAGTGATAAGAAAAATGATAAGAAACTTGTACTCATCACAATTAGGCAAAGTTATTATTAATATCATCCCTACATAAAGATGTGATTTGCAGCAGTGCAGGCGAGATTCCAGGAGGAAGAATATAAAAACATACTTTCAATCTAATTATTTAACAACTATGTGTGTGTGTATACATATATGTATATATATAGACATATACACATTGCAGATGTTATTTTTATATAAAATTTATATATATATACTTTTGAAATCCTTGCCTCGTTACCTTTATGTGTCCCTGTTGCCTACCATGGCTGAATATTTAATAAGCAACAGGAATGGAGCAAGTGCTACGCCAAAGCCTATACTATCACTTTCTCATTTCATCCTCAAAATAACTCTGTGAGGTAGTTATTGCAGTATTATCATCATCGTTGTGCTGAATAAACAGAAGCTTGGAAGCTTATGCCATGTACAGAAGAGCACGGAGCTGGTAAACAACTGGGGCCATAATTCACACTCTGGCTCCCCAGGCTCAAATAATTAGTTGTTGACAACAGCCCTGACTTCTGTCCTGAAACCTGGATCCAACTGCCCACTTGGCATGACCTCCTGAGCATTTCTCAAATGCAAAACATACACCTCCTGAGCATTTCTCAAATGCAAAACATACACAGCTAACTCACCATTTTCCCCACAATGTTACTATTCTCACCTCAATAAATAACACCACTCTTCAACTCACTGCCAAAGACAGAAATCTGGGATTCATTTTCGCTTTTTTACCCTTCTTCCCATTGCCCCTGCTACACTGAATAGGAGTCCCCAGAAAGGGGACTTCCCACACTTCTCTCCTCCATCCCTTGTATATTAATACATTGCTGCCCTGTCTTCCCAACCACTCTACAGAAACTTTATCTATTTGAAAATGGAAGGGCCTTCTAAATTCCCTCTGGAAGGACAATGAGTTTCTGGGACTAATAATTCATTGAAAAAGTTAACAATCCTCAAGCAGGGCTGACTCTAATTACCTGTATCAGCAGCAAACCCACAAGGCTCCGTACCCCTGTTCACTCATAATTCTCTTACGCACAGAACTTGTAAATGTGACTGCCCCTGAGCTTCTTGACAGTCCCAAGCTAAGTAATTAGCTCCATCTAAATTTTAGCACTTGAGACTTTTAGGAGCTAAAAAACACTGTTTGCACTCCTCAGTAGGTTGTGAGTTTGGCCTTTAGCCTCAGGCCCCAGAACACATCCAAGCCGTGGGTCTATCTCATGTAATTACACCCTAATGCTGTGAGCTGCTATTATATATTACCCTTCATCAAAACTAGGCAAGAGAACATTACACAGGCAACAAAGAATGATGGATTCAAGTTGCCAAGTCTCCTACTGGTTCAGAGAATTAACCAAGGGTTGCTTTATTTTCAAACAGTTGAGTCTAGGCTGGTTAGACAAGTTGGTTAGAGAGCAAAATTTATCCAGCCACACTTGTGGGTTAGAGTTCTGCATGAAACCGTTAAACCAATGTAAAGAAACCTGTTCCATAAACCCAGACTTTAAGTTCAAACACACAGCCAATTATCCTGCAAATATGTGCGGTTATTCACAAGAAGCATATACATAAACATAAGATGACAGTGCAAACCATCAAGCCATATACAGACTTTAGAGTACATGCTCTAAAGCTCAGTTGTGCATGCTTACTCTAGAGACAGACTGCTTTGGTTCAGTTCCTTGCTAGACCATTTATTCATTGGGTGATCTTATGCATGTTACTGAATTTCACTGAGACAATTTTTACTGACTTGTAAATTGGAGTTATAAAGGTACTAACTTCATTAAGAGTGTAGTGAAATTCCAAAAAACAATCCAAGTAAAGTGCCTGGAATAGTCCATGACACAAAGAAACCACTCTAACATATTAGCTATTAACTAATTACTAAAATATGCATGTTTCTCATCTATTGAAACGCTCATTGATAGCTGGCATACATTACTCCTAATTAATACATCCTTTATTTCCACTATGTCGATTTGGTCCAGCAGAAATAATGAGTTCAATGTGCTAATATGACTATCTATACAATTTTTAAAAAATCATTAAATTTTTCTGTTCTTAGCATACACTATTGTAAACATAAGTAACAGGCTAAATTAGGTGGCTAGGAAAAATGAAATTACTTATAAGATATAATTCCATTGCAAGGCCTTATGGGAAATGGAATTTTACCAACAGCAACATACTGTACAGATCTAGCATAAAGGAACCTCAAGAGAAAATAAAGACATGCATAGAGCACATAGAAAACAGGCACGTTCAACATTTTACACTATTGATTTTGATCATCTCACTAAAAAAGCCTTTTAATAGAAAATATTTTCATTAGGTAGAAAAAGTGTATAATTAAAATGGTAATCCTTAAAGTGGTTGGGAATGTGAATTCTTATACAGCTCATAAACTATATGATTCCATCCTTATATCCAAATCTGCCTGTTTAATGCCACAGGCATTAAGTAACAAGGTATTACAATAAGTTGTTTTCATGCAATTTCATCATATTACCTCCTTGTAGACTCCAAGATCAATATATCCACATATTGGATGAAATGCTCCGGTTCCACACACGTAAATGTGAGTTTTATTATAAGGTTGAAGTACTCGAACAAAATTTGCACATTCTGTCTATTGGGCATAAAAAAATAAAAGCATTAGCATACAATTCAAGTTTCTGAAAGATGATAGTCCATACCACCTGTTTTCAAGGTAGATAAGTCATCAAAAATAAGAGAAAAAATGAAAAAAAAAGATTTACGAGAAATGTTTAAACATCTGACATAGCAAAGGAGGCAAAAAAAAATTGAAACTGTGGCTTAAATAAGTGACTTTGAAGCTTTCTGAAGTTTTAAAGGTTTTGAACTAATCAGTGCTAGAATGCACATCTCTATAGTGCATTCTCAATGGAGCCTAGTGGTACTCAATGGGGCCTAGAGAATGAATATGCACAGAATATTAATGAGATTTCCATACTTTCTTTTAAGAATTACCGAGAGAACAAAACCCACCATGTTCTGAGTTCCCATATTGTCTATCCCATATAGATTCTATTGTTTGCAACATCAGCTGTCTCAGCTACACTGAACAAAATGCTGAACATAGATGTTTATGCCAATAAATGTGTTCCATTCTTATTGGCTGGAATGCCCTATCACTTTATCTTCATTTATTTTCAGTGTTGCCGAGCCTTTGAGAGTCAGATTAATTCTTGCTTATTCCAAGAATCTTCTGCGTTTCCATGAATGGTTTTTAAACCAAGTCCAATCTTTGAAAAGATTTTTACAGTTCTGCTTGTTTTACATATGCTTAGGCTTAAAAATATTTTTATATCCTCATTATCCTTATAACTTAATTATTTTCTATCTCCCAGTTACTTGTAAACAGTGATTCTTGACTTTTCAGAGAAGTCATTCTTATTATATATTATGTTCAATTTCTCTCCTGTAAGTGACTCCTTATCTTTACAAAATTATTGGAAACAATCTCTTAAACATGACTTCATGATTCCAGGACCCAAAGACCTTGAAGAAAACACTGAGCTATAGCATATTTTTATTTTAGATTGACAAAAGATGGGCAAGTGTTTACTAAGAAAATTGGAAACCTATGAAACTACAGAGATTAATTTTAAAAGTGCAGTTTCTCCCTGTCTGAATGACCATGGGTCTCTTGCCAGTTAGGCGCTGATGATGGTAACGGCTATTAGTAGGGTTGTCAGGAGAAATTAAACACACACACACACACACACACACACACACACACACACACACCACACCACACCACACACCACACACCACACACCACACACCAATGACCTAATTAGACTGATAAGATGGTTCTTAGAATTAAATATTTTTTTAGAAGGCAGACAACAACTGAATTGATAGGACTATTACCTGGTATAAATTAAATAATATAACATTTAAGAGTTGTTTATTACTTACCCTATGTAAAATATCAATGTTCTAGCAGCTGTTCAGATTTTAGAGTGAAGAGCTACGTCAGCCTATCTGTGGTAGAGGGCCTCGCTCCTAACTCTGCCTTTACCCAGCTAGCCTGGAATTTTATGTGTCAAGAATACATAGATGCCAGTTAATAAAATCTACACATTTTATCACAGAAGAATGTTGCAGTGAACTCATTGAGTCTTCCGCTCTCTGCTTCCTTATCAATAATGTAGCTGCTTAAGACTATTTGAAAGGTCAATATTAGCCCCTCAGCCACACAAGTAAAGAATGTTTATCAGGTAGGAAGATTCAGCTTCTCTAACAGAAGCAGGACCACTGCATATGGCTGCGTAGGTTGTAGGCAAAAAAAATAATGAATAAAAAAAAGTCTTATCTAAGGATGTGTAAATCACACTACAAACATCTTTAATATCCTGAATATTTTCATACGTTTAGTATATGTTCTCATATATTTACTATATGTAGACTCCTAAAACAGGAACGTCTTATATTCACTAAGAATATTTTCTGGCAGATAGTCTTGTGTGATAAAATGACATTATGTCAGTTCTCTTGTGCCAAGGTGTCTGATGATGAAGAGAGCTTATTTTCTATTTGCACAAAGGCACCACAGGGAACTAGCTTCATGGTCTTTAACATCATGCTCCGCAATCTCAAAAGAAAACCTAATGCAGAGAGTAAATACTCCACGCTTATAGTTTTCAATAAATAATGGAGACAGTAATATGAGAAATACCAAGGCTAAAGTGTAAAACTGTACATGGTCACCAGAAAAATTTGTAATGACAGCTTCATTGCTACAGGTAAGAGGTTTTAGCATTCTCTTTTATTGTGCTCACTCATGCTCATTGAAGGGACTTTTATTTCCTAGTCTTTCTCCTCTGAAGAGCTTTATGCAAGGATGAGATCTACACAAGGAACTGTACACGGGGCGGGAAAGAGTAGAATTACATGGCTGGAGTGAGGTGGGATAGACCCACTGCCAGTCATTTCATCGTTTTGTCAAAAGCTCAGTTTTACCAAATAGTCTTACAATTTAAGGGTAATTGTTAAGGACTGAACATTTGTGTCCTTCCAAATTCATAGGTTGAAACCCTAACTCCCCAGTGTGATGGTACCAGGAGGTAATGTGGCCCTTTGGGAGGTAGTCAGTTTAAGAGGAGGCAGGAGAGCGGGGTCCTCCTGATGAGATTAAGAAGAGACTAGGGCACCTGCGCTCTCACTCTGTCATGTGAAGATACCACAGGACAATGGCTACCTGCAAGCCACCAAGAGAATTTTCACTAGGAACCAAATTAGCTGACCCCTTTGCCTTCCCAGCCTCTGGAACTGTGAGAAATAAATGTCTGTTGTTTAAGCCACCTAGTTTACGGTATTTTGTTATAGTAGCCCAGGCTGAATAAGAAAGACATTAATTTTACAAAATTCTGAACTGAATATTTGTATAAAGAAATAAAACAATTCCCTTTCCAGATTATCAATTATGGAGTCAGAAAGATTAAGGACTCTGAGAGACAGCACGGGTTAAAGAGGCCAATAAGGCCCATGATGAAGTTTTATACACACAAGAGATATAATGTTAGTGATTATAAAGAAAAAGCTCTGAATCACACCTAAAACTTTTAACTTTTCAAGAAGTACTTCATTAAAATGCAGCCAGCCAGGGAAAGTAACCTATTGTGCTAGTTTCTTACTTGGTATGATGTTACCAAGTATTTATTTATGAAACCCCTCCCTTCTCTCAGATTGGGCTGACATGGAATATATGAATGTATAGATGAGTCCTGAACTATCTGACATCGTTTACAAAAAAATCAGTTCTGCTCAAACTTTTCTGTAGTGAAACTGATAAAGGGTCCTTTTCTAAGCAGCCTGGGGGCAATGAAAAGGCACTGGTTGCCTGAAGGAAAGAAACAGCCATCCTAGAAGATAAGATCTCTTACATCAAATGTTGCCTGGGGTGGACATTTCAGCCAAACCAGTGATGTGAGGTAAAAGCTAAAAACTTTACAATGAATTTCCTTTTAATTTGTAACTTTTTTTTTTCCCCCTCAAAGTTTCTGTGCTGTTTGCTTTCTAGGCACAAAGATTCCATGTTTTGCTTAAACAGGAAGAGCAATAATTAACTTGATTTAATTCACTTAGCGACTTGCATGGCTATTAATGGTGGCATAATTCTGTGAGGCATGAAGAAAGATAACTCTGAGAAGCAGCTTTTTAACTTTTCCTGAAAGCTGGCTAATTTGTCACCTATTGCCCACGATGACAAGGGTTGTTGCATGTGACTAAACAGTTCAATTCATTGAGTAATATATTCAACTTTGGAAAAGCATTGAATTTCTCCTTCTTTTCCTTATTCTTTTACCTACTGCCCTTCCCACCTACCTCCCCACCCCCACTATTAGAGAGGGAGACAGAGAGAGAGGATTACAAACAAGTATCAACTTTTTAAAATTCTCTCAAGTGATAGTATGTTTCAATATTTTACCTCTCGCATATATGCATACATGTATATAACTAACTAAATAAAACAAATATAAAACTGTTTGTTTTTGGAGAAAAGACAAATATATATTAGTTTATATAATGGAATTTTAGTTTCCCCCTAGATATCTCATATTAACAAAAGAGAAGTACTTGTAATTCTCTGGACTTATGTACAGTACAATTACTAAATCCAATACAGCTTTACATGTATTTCTGATAACTGACTTGTAATTGCTAATTTTAATTTATTTAGATTATATATGGAAAGACACTCATGATTTAGGAATCTGGTCTGTTTTTACTTCAGTATATTTTTCAGAATATTGTGATCATCAAACATTTTTGATTATTCATCACATGCCTGTCATTGTGCTACCTGTTAGGTTTGTCTAGCAGACCTCAGGATCCAGTCTGCAGAGATATCTGTTTAGGCCAAAAGTGCTGAATATATTTTAACACTTCATAATAAATACATGAAAAACAAATATCACATTTATCTCTTAAAAGTGGAAGATCTAATAGTGGAGATGTCTATAGAGCTAAACCCAGTTGTGGTAGAAGAGCAGTGGAAAACTGCTCTTTTAAAGAAAAAAATTGAGAGATATGCTTACTTAAATATTTAAAAATCTATATCAAACAGGATAACTGGGAAAGATTAATTTTTACATAAGTGGATCAAAAGAGATAATATACTTTATATCATTGGGTTATCGGAAAAGTCATGATGTGTTTTTTCTGTTTTTTGTTGCAAAAATGCGTCATGACTTTTTCAACAACCCAATATATACATATATAATTATATATAAACTGCAAATCTCTGTAAATAATCAGTAAGGAAAAGGAACACATTAAATTTAAAAATGAACAAATCTGTCATTCCAAAAAATAAATCATCATTTTACAACTATTAATACATAAACTATTTAGTTTTAATAGTAATGAAAAACTTTCAAGCTGAAACACAAAAATCATTTTATTTTTGTTGGAAAATATGTAATATATTTGTTTTTTTAATTTGTGTTTTAGTATTACATATTAACTATATGTTGTGTCCAATATTAGCAAATTAGCAAAGGTATAGGGAAATACACCTTCGTATAAGCATCACAGCTGATTAAAGTATAAGACGCATAAACTCTGGAGAGCTATTTTGCAATGTGTATAAAACAAATTTATATCCTTTCACAAGTAATTCTACTCTATAGTCAAAGATGTTCACAATATTTATATACAAGGTTTTTCATGTGCAGCATCATTTACAATAGTAAAAACTGGATTTATACCAAACTTCTACCAATAGGGGATTGATGAAATAATATATAGAGGAATGCAGTATAGCTATTAAAAGTAGTGTTAGAAAAAGGAATTTAATGACATGGGAAAATGCTCGTGGCAGTCTGTGAAGTGGGGAAAAATAAGTGTTTTAAGGGACTATGTATACAATGATTTCATTCTGAAAAATACTAAGTAGATAAGATAGAAGAATAAACATCAAACTGTCACCAGCTATCTCTGGGTAATGTTCATGGAGGAGGAAATATTTACAGATGATTTCTATATAATTTGCAAATTTTCTACAGAGAACACTTTGTTTTACTTTTGGACATTCTAAAAAAAAATGTAGTCACAGAGCTGTAGAGAAGCGAAATCCTTTAACTCTATGTAATGTCTCTATTGATAGGTGGTGCGCCTCAGCGGTTGAGCTGACAAACAGCCCAGCCGTTCACACCCTGTGTGTCCTTTTGCCTGGAGTGACCTGCTTACCTCACTCTTCACAGTCAGGACTAAAGACATTTCTCTAGTGACATTCTTTTGAAAAATATTCTTAGCAGGAACAGAGTTTTACCAAATAGCTTCCTCCCATTTCTTTCCTTCCTGGTATTTAACCAGGCACGGTGTTCAAGAATGTGGAGTGGTTCTCTTCTGTGTCCTCGTCTTCCACTCCCTCCCAACCCCAATTAGCTAACTTTCATGATGGTAAATAATTCACTATTTTTCAGTTATATAGTACCTTTGTGTAAAGGGACAGCCTTTCCAAACACTTGTTAATCCTAAACACACTCTTGGGAAGTAGGTAAAAATTACTAGAGAGAAGGGAAAAGAGAGGGTAGTGCCAAAGGTAGTAAAAGATGTCAATAACCCCCCCCCACACACACACACACACATGTCTCCGTTTTCTGTTGGCTGAAATCTACACAATGCTGAATACGGAGGATGTGTATGATGCTGAACTGAAGAGAGACATGCTTTGAGGGATACAGGTTTCAGATCTTGTATGTAAAGTTCAGACCTTTGGGTACAGGTCATAGTGACGTACAAGAGCACATATGGTGGGGGCAAGACTTCTGGGTTCAATTCCTGGCTTCCCTATTTATAAGATCTATGACATTGGGTAAGTCATTTAATTTTTCTGGCCTCAGTCTTCTCATCTGGAAAATGAGAAATAATAATAATAAAATCTGTCATATAGTACCATTATAAGAGTAAAACAAGATTATAAATATGAAACATTAAAAACACCTCCTGGAACATGATAAGTGCTATAAAAGTGTTAGCTATTCTTAGTAACTCTAAAATATAATATTATTTTAAAGGGATAAATTAAAAAGGAGACAAAGACTTGTATTATCCCTACATGGTTCAACATCAAACTTTATAGACTTCAGTAAAAAGAGAACAGCTCCTCAAATCTCTAATCCTGGATAGCAGTAGGTGAGCTGGGAGGTTAGGGGTTATTACTATAATAGTTCCCAAACATAACAGAATTGGAAGAATAGGTTTTATTTACTGGGTCCTTCATGCTCCAGGATGCCACCTCCAGAAAGGTTTATCATGCTTCACTTTAACTTAATAATATGGGCAACTGAGTTACTATATAACTAGAATTAGTGAACATACTGAAATGGGAACACTATCATAATTAAAACCCCCACTGACTGTTTGACCTTGAGTGTTTATCCTTCATCTACTCCATGGGAAACTTGACATTAGTTTATTGGAGTAAATTTAAAACACCCCTTTCCTACTTGCCTCCATATCACATACTCAATACTGATGAAACACAAAATATTACCATGTTCATACTGTTGATGACATGCTTCTACTGTTAATCAACAAAATAATTTTGAAAACACTCATAGCCAAAACATCTTTTTTCCCACAATTTCAAAACAGTGCTGATGCTTTTGCAGATCTGAGCACCTGCTCAGAGATGGGATATTAAACAGGGTAGAGATTAGAGACATGGGAAAAAGAAGCAAGTATTCTAGAATGGTTTACTCCCTTTAATTCCTAGTAAAATAAATGTAAAAACTGGTTCTTGTTGCATTTGATACTAACACTCCCTGATGTATTTCTGCTAAGATAAATGCCTGAAAAGATCACATTTAACACTGAATATGAATTCAGGCATAATCAAAAGTTTGTTGTGATTATTTCGTTTTGCAGTTCACTGTGTATAAGTCATCAGGTGAATAATATATGTATCCCTCATTAGATTGAAAGCTCCTAGTGAGGAGATACTGTATCAGTTTGGTACACATATGTATGTACATATTTAGGCTCTTAGTAACTATTTGTTGAATAAATGGCTGAGCAAATGAGTGAACAAATAAGGTTCTTAGTCTTCTAACCTTCCCTTTAATTCATTAGGCATCATGTATCGTGTGTTTTACTTTTATCACATTACTAAAGTGAGATTTTAAATCCCATTACACTTTCATGAAACACACAATATTTGTTGTTACTAAATACAGAGGCCCTGCTCTGTTTAATGCTGCTGGGAATGGTGGGTAGAGGCAACACCACAGGATGCTGCAAAAACAGCCTCAAGATATCCATCCATCCGCGTTTCTGCCCAAAGTTAGAACCTCTTATCCTCTTAAGTTACATTCAGGAAGTGATTTATTTGGCGAAAAAAAAAGCCAATTCTCCCTATCACCACAGTGCAAGACGTCAGGGCAAAACCCAGAGCATCTGGCCTAAATCACAGCACTCAGATGAGGAGAAGAGGCAGGCAGAGCCCTAGCACTCTGCAGCCATCGCTGGAGATAAAACAGGCAACACAATTTGGGGGTGCACGCAGGACAACTTGGACGATGCCAAAGTAATCCAGACAGGACACCCCAAAGGTGATTAGGTTAGTCACACCTAGCTAAGGGTTTCCTCTGGTCCTTGAGGCAGCTTAAACTGCAAGTTTATGTTAGAACCCCAGTATCCTGTGTGAGTTATTTCATATAATGATGCTTAAGTACATTTTAGAGTAAATTATTTCTAGTTCTTATTCCAGAATGTATGTCATTTTCAACCAATTCTTCTTAATATCTCTGCAACGTGAGCTTTTGAAAGAATTCTTATAGATGTTGTAAGTTTAAATTCAACCCAAATTAAATAACAATTGTATTTTCAATTTTTTCAATATTTTCAAAATTTTCAGTATTTTCAATGCTAAAACCACTATGGTTTTTTGTACATTCACAAAATGCATGTAAATGAAAAATACACAAAACTAGAAGTACAATATTTGCTGATGGTTTATTTTTGAATATTTTAAATGTACTCTGAGTTTTTTTGTGTGAAAAGAGTAATATTCAGAAGTAACACTAGAGAAAGTATAGTAATTCCAAATTTTTGAGGATAATGTCACTCCTTTTGGCAAGACAGAAATATTTTATACCATAATCTTATCACAGAATAAGTTAGTGTAGTTGTAAACATAATATGCTAATGCCATTAATTCAATAAAATCCAATATAAATATTTACTATCATATCAGTACCAGTTTAACAAAGATATTTTTAAGTCTCATACTTACATTGGCATCTTTCCCAGCTAATTTACATAATTCCACCCGTTCCTTTGAAGCAGGCCAATAAATCTGTAAAACAGTTAAAGGTGTTTACAATTAGAATTACAATTCTAATTAGGAAAGTGAGTATGTGAAGTTGAAGAGTGGATAACAAGCCAAGAACACGTTATTAGGTATGACATAAGAATTTTGAGATTTAAATATTTTCCAAGTCACCCAAAAAAATTTCTTAAGAAACAAGTTGTAGGGCAGGCCGAGTGGCTCAGTTGGTTAAGAGCTCACTCAAGAGTGCAAGCTCTGAGCAACAAAGTTGCCAGTTCGATTCCTGGCCCGAGATGAGCTGCTGCTGAGCTGCCAAGCATATGGCAGGATGGCTCAGCTAAAAAAAAACAAAAACAAAAAAAAACAAATTGTACACAATCTTCCATTTTTTTTTGTTAATCTTATTTATTTTTAAATCCATTTAATAATAGGTAAGTTATGTTGAGAAAACCATAAATTTTTATTATGATGTCAATAGAATTTCAGAGTAGCATTTACTTAAGTAAGAGATTCTATGTTACTCTGTTTTTCTGTGTTTACTTAGAATGGTAGTACATTGTAAACATGTGCAATGAGGTGTGAGAAAGACCTCTTCATCACAAGCATAAGTTATCACTCCAAGTCAAAGACCAGTATGAATTTGTTGACAATATTTAATATGCATGGAGCTCAGACGCATCTGCCAATTAAGCATTTTGTGTGCATTACCTTATGTATATCTCACAACGACCCTATGAGTTAGCTGTATTTACTCTCCTAATTTTCAAGTCAGAAAACTTACTCACATAGCCTTTAAATAACATCAAGGGCCATGCAGCTAGTTCACAGCAGAGCCAAAATATGACCCAATGTCTGTCTCCTAAACTTGTGTGTATGGAGGGGAGGGGTCTCAACCACTGCACAAAAAATATCATTTGGGCAAATAATTAAGGACAAGGGCAGCAAACTCCCTGGTTGGTAGCTTTTAATCACACTTTAACAGTCTTGAATTTATCACAAGGGTTTGGTTTGGTTTGTTTTTTACTAACAAAATGTAGGAATTCTGTCTGGAAGTTTTTGCAAAATAAGATTCACTTACATTATTTCACTAGTTTACAGAAAGAAATTCCCCCTGTTAAGCTATAGGCAAGAAGAAACAAGAAAAGCAAGCTCTGAGTTGCTTATAAGGTTCCAAGAGTTCCTTCCAAACTTTTATTATGGTTCTCACCAATGTTAACAGAAAATGTTTTAATAGGTGAGGAAAACGAAAATATCCTGAGGGAGTACACTGAAAAAGACTTGTTAAACCTGGAATTAACAAGTGATTTAGAAGTCACTGATGGGTACATGATATTATCTTCATAGTGAAATTTTAGGGTTTTATGTCTGAATAATAAAGAACAGAGAATAGCACTCAAATTCTCTTAGTAGATAAATACAATAAAATTACTGAGAGCTTTAAATGAAGCAAGGTTGTTCATTTAGAGTACATTTTAACAACCTACAATCCAAAGGTGTACATCAGCAGGGTGGCTGAACCTGCTAGCAGCAAGCTCAAATGACGAGCTAACTTTGATGTGGTTCACAATACGGACCTAAAGATGCTGTTTATTCAGACATGGTTTAAATCACTGCAATGATACTTTCACACAATTTTGAATAGTAGCCAGCAGTAAAACATGAATGGACTACAGCAATGAAAAGCAATATGGGTGGATCTTAACAATTCATTATTAGGTGAAAAAAGCATATTCCCTAAAATTACAAACAGCATGACCCTCTTAGAATAATGTTAAAAATCAACAACTAAAATAAACTAGACACTTTTTTGGTATATATGTAAATGCAATAGACATGCAAGAAGAAAAGCAAGAGAGTGATAAATACAGGATTCGGAAAGATGATTACTCAAGACCGGAGAAAAGAAAAGGGGTAAATTGGTGGTAAGAAAGATTATTTACCAGATCTTAGCTTTTGTTCTGGGTGGTAGATTTTCAGGTGCTTAATACATAATTAAAAATAGCTAGGTAATGTTAATAAATAAATATACCAAAATAGGCCATGCATAGGCCAATTGGCAATAGTCGGTCATCAACCTAGAATCATGAAGTCCTAAATAAATGAATAAATGAATAAATGAATACTAAAAAAAAAACACTGCAGCTGGCAGGAAATTTGGAAGTTTCTTCAAATTGTTTTCTTATTGTTTGTTATTTTTTTAAAGCACTGGTAGCAAAAATACTGAACTAAGTGTTCTTTATCTCTTCATAAACATTACATTTTGGATTTATGAAATTTTAGCTTCATATTGGAGCTTATGAGCTCAAGGTATCCTTGCATATGTTTTCTTGTCAATTACTTTTTTTTTTCAAAGTTATTTTCAATTGTGGTAAAATGTAAATAACAAAAATTCCTCATCTTAGCCATTGTAAACATAGAGGTCAGTATTGTTAAGTATATTCACTTTGGGCAACCAAGCTCCGGAATTCTTTCATCTTGCAAAACTGCAACTTTATCCTCGTTGATTCTTGAATATTATAGTGATTTACAAAGGACAACTTTGTATCATTGGAATGAAATTAAATCCTACATAGAATGCATGTCCATCATCTGTCAGTTGGTTTAATATTTAGTTCATTTTCTTCGATCTCTAATTTAGATTAACATTTCTATGAGTCCTTTCAATATGTCAGATCCTGTTATTTTTTTTTGTCTTATAAGATGGTCAGATTTAATCACATTTCAAAAATAAATTTAGAACAAATATTTACAGGTTTGTTCAAATCTGAATCTTATTGGTATTAACACCACAGTAAAAAAAGAAACAGAAAACAGAGAACTCCTTCATATTAAGTAAACAAGACTTAAAGAAGATAAAGGTCATTACTGCATCCTATTTTTTTACCTTAAACCTGTGAATTGGGTGATTGAGTTAAAGTAAATTATGAGATAATGTTTCTAAAATTTATTTTGAATATATATATATATATATGTATATATATATATATATATACATATATATATATATGGGGGCTTCAGAAAAGAGGGATTTATAGATTGACAAAATGTACAAGCAATCTTTATATCACTTTGAAATCTAAATGAAACTTCCAAAGTTAGCACAGAGTAGCTACTGTTCATTAATCATTTGTTCTTTAGGTACACAATTATGAAGGGCCTTCTGACGTGCTAAAATATGAGTCAGGGAGACCATTCTAAGTGAGAGGAGAGCGCAGAGGATACAGCCCAGATGCTCACGGAGCCCTAAGCAGCACCGGGTAGTAAAGAAAGTGTGTACCAGTTCCAACTTCTGAGCCATTAAACAAATTACTTGCTCTTAATGGTTTCAACTGTAATGTAACAATTTTAAGTTTCAACTCTAACTTTTGTCTTAAGGTTTTGTCACTAAAATAGTAACTGTAGATTTTTTTTCTCTTTCCAAAGGAATATAAATCTCTGAAAGATGTTTTAATGGTTTTGTACATTTTCAATTACTGATGGTAAGTCATGTAACTGTAAATTGATTTGTGTCATCCTAGTTAATGAAGCAATAAAACTGAAATTATAGGCTTCAAAGAATCAGGATTTGAACAATGGGTAAATGTTATATAATGTGTTCAACTACAGAAAGCAATTTTAATAAATCTATTTTCTGTTTACAAAGCAGACTATTTTTTCTGAAATGTTATCTCATTTTTCTTCATTTACCTTTAATCCCATAAAGTCTAGAACCTGTTAAAAATATAAATTATCCTTGGATTATATTATTATTATTATTATTATTATTATTATTATTGCACAAGACTCTAAGATAGTATCACAAAGGTAATTTTACTTCATAAGGTAACATTCAAGCCTTAAAAATAAAGATTAGTTGGGATTATATATTGGCTTATTTTGACACAATGCTGTCAAGAATCTAGAAGTCACAAATAGAATTACCTTAATAATGACAACCTAGGAGATACCTGATTATCTTCCAGACACTAAACATTTACTTAAAAAGAAAAAAATCATTGTAGTTGTGCCAATATTTAAAAGATATAATTTTAGTTATGATTTATGGTGGGATTTTCTTTTACTTGCCACCTAGTCATTAGAATAAAGGGTTTATTTTTTTTAAATATTCCTTTTGTTTCCTCGTTAGTAAAGAATGTAAAGAAACAGAATTTTCCATAATTCAATATAAAAACAAGAAAGCAAAACATCAAAACAAAAAAAACACACTTTCATATTTCTATAGGGTTTGAAAAAATATGTTCAAGTAACATTTATGTTTTTCAATAATATTTTTAAGTGATCATATATGACATATCTCTATTTCTATCTATATAAAAGCATTCCGCCACCTCCATATTTTTCTAGCTAAATTGTATGTGTGTGTGTGTGTACATGGTTATGAAGGGGGCAAAACAGTAATAAAGAAAGAAATAGAGATAGACAGAGGCATGCAGGTACATGGAGGAAGACACAGACATGTTAACCTTGGGCATAAAATAACATATTTCATATAGAGACTCAAGTTTCATCACGGTTTACACAATGTCCAAGAAATACCTAAGATCCTGAGATTATTTCAGTAATCCAGTCAGTACACTCTGAGACTGCCTCACTCCCAGACAGAAATCACACCTCACACCTAAAAATACAATGTCCACAGTATCTATAAGAAGTTCCCTTGGTCATTAGGTAATGGGAACAGTTCTAAGACAGTGATTATCAATATTCTCACTGCTCTCGGAATTCATCAGCAACAAAATTACATACACATTTTTCCCTTGCACTTTAGAGCCTTGCATGTGCAGTATCCTGCCACGTTAAAATTTACGTTAAGTAGGAGAAAACAAGACACATAGCCCCTTCCTAAAGACTGATAATGGCTGCACCACTCCCTTAGTCACTGACCCTTAGATATTTTCCTTTCACTTATCAAAGAGAGACATATCAGAAGCAGAGATGCCAATTGCATAATTGCCATATTTTAATTGTCCTGAAAGAGTCCCATAAAACACTAGTTCTTAACTAATGTATGATGTACCAGATACAGG